GGACGGTGTCGAAATTGAGTCGGCCCGGCTGCATCACAAATGCGCAACAACGCCATGCAAGCCCCGGGCCGCATCGGACCGCCGAAAGACCAGAAAGCAAACCGCATCGGGCCTGCCGGAACCGACATCGCAGCGAACCGATCGGACCGAAGTGGACCCCGAAGGGGCCCCCGTGAGATCCCCACGACGCTCCCCAAGAGGCCTCCAGCATGCCCCCTGGTCCACGGTCCACTGCCACGGTGGCGGGTCGGCCAGAGGCGCGAGGCGCCCGGCGCAGACCTCTTCGCGCCCCTGCGGGGGTGACCCAGCCAGGTCGCGCCGTCCCCCCGCACTGGGCCTCCGGCGACGCGGACGCTGCCTCACGGCGGGGGCATCTGGAGCTCTCCTGGGCGGCGCTTCAGCGACTCAGTGGGAGGGCCATTGTCAACGGGGGGGGAGGGGGGGCGAAGAAACGGTGCACCCGTTTCGCGCCCCTGTTGGGGCCCCAGGGGGGGCCCATTTGGGGCCCCCAGGGCGCACGAGAGGTGCACTCCCCCCCCTCTCCCAGGTACGCAACGCCCGACTCCCCAGCCCCCTCCCAAGGCGGGCTCTGTCGGATCCCCCCAGGGCCCACAAATCTGCCCCCTGGAAGGTAACAAAAACTTCGCGAGCGACGCGCCCGCCGCGGCCGCCCCCCACGATGCCCGAGGTCTGGTGACCCAGGGCCCCTGGCAAAGCAAAATCCAGCGCAGATGCGCCAGCGGCGGCGCCACCAGGGGGGGGGGTCCAGCGCCGAGCCGAAAAGATCCGCGCGACCTAAGACAGCGTATGCTTACGCCTGTCCCTGCTCTTCAAACTTGGCGGCGCGCACAAGGACTGGCGCGAGGGTTGGATAGGCACCGACCGGCCCCGGCATTCCGTAGGGCCTTTCAGGAAGTGCGCTCAGAGCCCAAAAATGTTTGAGAGCAAAACGGTGTTCTTGGAGCATACACCCGATGTGTTAAAACAAAGCAGTCTCAATGTTCTAAGAGAAATGTCGTGCAAAAGGTTATCATAACATCTGTGGTGAGCCTATCAGGAAGCCAGGACGCTTCGCCGCTGCTCAAGAGGAAGGGGACCTTCTGAGAAAGCTGCAGGGGGTCTCTTCAGAAGCCAGCCTGAACTCTCCGAGGCCTCCGCAGAGAGAGTCTGCGGGCCCGTCTGAGAAAAGGCTCCCGCAGTCTGAGAATACCCCCGCCAATCTGGAATACCACAGCTCGCCATCGCTCGGACGTCCATGATACGCGTATTGTTCCATGTCGTGCGCAAGATGACCCAAGATCCTCACCGATGGTCCCGGCCGGGAAAAAATGCACACGTCCGAGCGATACCCAAGGCACACATCGGGCCACCCCTTCCGGCTACACGTCAGAGTGACCCTGGGCAAGAATGACCTTTGGTGCGCGACTTACCGGGGGACGCGAGGTGGCAAAACCCGGGCGCGCAAGCCGCTGCTACCGCTTCGCGTTCAGCGGTCGGGGGACCCCATTGGGCCCGCACCTGAGGTCACTCCGGCGAAAGGTCACTCTTACGTGTAGACGACCCCTCTCTGCTCTTCGGCAGCGAAGGCCCCCCCTGCACGGTTTTCCTCGGGGCCGTAGGCGACCCGAGGAGGAGGAGGAGGAGGAGGAGGAGGAGGAGGAGGAGGAGGAGGAGATGGAGGAGGAGAGGAGGAGGAGGAGGAGGAGGAGGAGGAGGAGGAGGAGGAGGAGGGTTGCCGTAGCCATTTTGGCTCAAGGCAATGCCCGACTCGGGGGCGTGGATACCCCCGCCCGGCCCTCGACACAGGGGCGGGGGGTCCCGCAGCGGGCGATGGCCACGCGCGGCGCCCGCCGCGCCCTGGCGGCCAGGGCGCCCGCGATTCTGTCTGCGGCCGCGGGGGGCTGCCCGACCGCGTGGCGGCCCATGACGCCGACATCTACGGCTGTACTCCCATCAGCCCTGCGAGGGGTATCGCCATGCTGGGGCCCACAGCTGCCCGACGAGCAGCGCGCCGCAGGCGCCAGCTCGCCATGGAGGCGGCGCGCAGGCACCAGCAGTACCGTAACTGGTGATGAACCTGTACCCGAAGGACCCATCCTCGCTGGCTGCACCGTTCTGGCCCGCCAAGCCACACGGCCAGTGGGACTACGACGACGTCACCGGAGCCGCTGTTCCACCAGGACCGCGACCCGCGCCGACCTCCGCAGCAGAGGCGGAACACCGGGACATCGTCTTCTCCGACGACACGAGCCTCGACACCAACCGCGGCATCATGTGCACGTGCGACTCCATGGTCTTCCCCGGGACGCTGCCATACGCCGCCGCACCCGCGCCTGAGACGTTGTCCTCAAAAGGCGGGGGCGCCTCCACACCTGAGACACAGTCGTCACCAGGCGGAGTCGCCGGCCAGCTGGCACGCGATACCGTGGCCAAGACGGAGCGCCCAGGCGCCCCCGCGCCCGCGCAGGAGACGCAAACCTCAGAAGGTGACGGCGGTCGAAGTGTCCGCTTTGCGCCCTACCACGAGATCTACGGGCACGAGAAGGAGGAGGTGGAGGACCACGAGGGCGAGGAGGGCGAGGAGGAGGACGACAAGTACGAGGTGAAGGGCACGGTGGAGGAGGACACCGAGCACGAGAAGCATACGACCATCGGTGAGCCCATGTCTGTGAGAGGCTGTCTCCGAGGCGCCCGGCAACACACCAGCGTTTAGCCTCCCCCCCTTGTTTTCTTCCTCTCCTTATCATATCGTCTTCCTTCTTCCTCCACCGCCTCAATCTGCGCGGCACGTCCAGCAGCTGACACCCGCCGCCCTGCAGCGGAGCCTCGAGTGACCGCAACCGAGGCTCACCCAGAGCCACCACCCAGTCTGCCTCCCAGTGCCCGTCTGTCGCCCGTCTGCCTCCCAGAGCCACTGCTGCTGGCGGGCCAGCGCAGAGGCGGCCTCTAGCCCCAACCGGAAGCACCCCTACCCCCCCTCCGCTCCCTTATTACAGCCACTGTTTCCCTCCCCCCGGGCTCCGCCGTCTCCTCGGCCGTCCCCCGGGGGTCCCCAATCGCCCCCTCGCGCACCTCCCTCTCCCGCCTTGCCTGGCCCAGCGGGCCTGGAAGCACGACCTCGACCGCCCACAGCCGTAGGCCCAGCAACGCAGGGCTGGTGCTAAACCCGAGAAGAACTACGAAAAGCACCGAGGCGGGACGGAGGTTGGGGGTGAACCGCCAAACCCCGGGGCCCTCGGAGGGCCTAGGCCGCGCGCGGCCGCCAGCCTGCAACCGTCTCAGCAAGCCAGTGTCACAGAGGGCGGTCCAACGACCGCAAGGCCCTGCCAGCGCTCTGCGCTGCTGTCGCCGCCGGAGGGGGGGTGGTTCAAGGGACGGATGGGGGGGGTGGGGATCGAGGCAGGATCGAAGCTGGAGCGCCGCTCGCTGGCCGCGCCCGCCGCTTGCCACTCGCCTGCGTTTCTCACCGCAACGGCTCCTAGGAGGAGGGGGCGGCGGGGAAGGCTCAGGACGGGGGGCTGGAAGAATGGCGTTGGGCCTGGAGGGACCGCATGCAGTGTGCGGAGAACAGCGCCACCGCCAGAATCGTTTTACTCGTAGGGAGAGCGCTCTCCCTCTGTCCACCCGTGTTCTCCACTATCGTGCCCCATCCTCTGCTGTCACGCCCAAGGCGCAGTCGCCTCCTTTACCTCCCCACGCTAATCGCCTGTACCCTACACCTCATGGGCACCAAACAATGGGTTCCCTCCTCGGCCGCACTGTTCTGGGGAAAGCGGGAGGTTACTGGGGTGAACCGCCAAACCCCAGACTAGGGCGAGCATAGCAGGTGCCTCGGCGGCTCTTGGCACCACTTTTCCTGCAGCCACCCATCCTTGCTCTGTCCCCTTCCATTAGATCTTCGTTCCCTCCCCCCTCAACCTCGCAGGATGCACCATGTTTCCTCAAGCACGGGGAACTCCACCGCTGTGCGTGTATTTTCAACACAACATAAACACCCCAGTTGCCCCTACAGGGAGTGCTGCGGCGCGTGGCCAACGTACGCAGCAATTCAACCGCACGGACGGATTTTTCACCCGAACAAGCGGCCCGCCGAGGATCGGCGCTGTCGCCTGATGTGTCTCCATGCGCGCTTGCCCGACTTACCCCTCCCATGACCCCTTCAGCCGCGTCGGGCACGAGGTCGCGTGCCGACTCGTTAGCGCCAGGGCCACATAGAGCGACAAGCGGCGGCGACGCCTGCCTCTTCGCCGCTGCCACACACGCGAAGCACCCTTCCCGCCGGCAGATACTTGCCGATCCAGGTTGTTGACACCGGCAGTCCCTTTTCAACTTCCTTATTCATCCACTTCACCGCTATTTCCCTTTTTCGCCCAGCTGTCACGGGGAGGATAGGGACGGGGGAGGGGGGCGACGAAGGAGATTGTCCTGTCAGGAGGTGCCACGATGGCCTCTGGGCCGGAGCGCCCCGCTTGCTTTTTCCTTCCCCACGTTCCCTTCCACCCTTTGCCTCTTGATGTCCTCTATGTTCTCCTCCTCCTCCTCCCCCACTGGGGTGCCTCCTCTGCCGACCGGCGCCGCCTACGATGGCGACCGCCGGGGCGCCGAGGCGCCAGGACGGCGGCAGGCCCGCGCCGTCAGGAGCGGGTGGGCGGCGTTGAGGCAGGAGGGAGCATGCAGCGGAGGGCGGCGAGGAGGGACGACCTGTTTCTGTTTCGTTTCACCCCACCTTTGCGCGGCGTTGGCCGAGGGGAGGGGCCGGATTGGTGGCTACAGACTTCGTCTCTCGATGCCGTGAGTGAGTGAGTGAGGAGGAGGATAAGGAGGAGGAGGAGGAGGAGGAGGAGAACGGGTCGCCTGAGCCCTTCGGAGAAACCCTCCAGCCCCCCCCCTCCCCCCCGGCATGTTCTCCCTCATGTCCGTGTGCACGTCGGAGACGGCGTACACCCGCACCGCCCCGGGGCCTCCCGACTCGGCCGCTGGCCCCTCCGCGGCCGCTGGGGCGCCCGACATCCCGCGCGGGGGGGGGGGGGGGGGGGCGCACACGCGGCGTCGCCGTGCCGCAGAAGCGGCGGGGTGGAGGGGGAAGATGACTCCCTACCACACCACCCCAACCCAACCCGAAGACCCGACTTTCGGGTTGGGGGGGTACGGGTTTCATGAGTGTTTTTTCAAAGCTCCCCGACCCCCCCCACACTGGAAATGGACGGCAAATCGGGGCCTTCGGGCTGGGTTGGGGTGGTCTGGTGGGCGGTGGGGAGACGGAAGGCAGGGAGAAGGAGGGAGAAGGAGAATACAAAGAGGAGGGAGTGGAGTGGAGTGGAGTGGAAGGGAGTGGAGTGGAGTGGAACGGAGCCCATCACAGAGCCGTGATTCGAACGGAACCTACCTGCGGCACCCGCCTGCCCTCCCCGAAGACCACGGAGCCGAACACGACGAAGCAGCCATGGAACATTGCAGCGTTTCGGTTTCTCAGCCCCCACGAGAAGAAACCCACGATGCTTTCACCGTTATTTCAGGTTCCCCACCACCAGGGTCAAACCAAACGTGATCACTGAAAGGAGTGCTGAAAATGCCCGCCAACTGACGCTGCAAATTCTGAATGGCATAAAGCAACTTCCACGTAAAGGATTGACACTCACCACACACGGCATTTTACTGTAGAGAATGCAGGCCGACCCGAACATACGAGCAGTAATGTCTCCTGACACCGCCAGGAGCCAACGGCTGGGCGAACGCTTAGACAGGATCCACACGAGCCTTACTGCCAAGCCACAATCCACCCACTAGAAGCGTTTCGCAGCTTTACAACAGCCGCCCGTGGTAGGCCACGTAGGGAATCCGAAATCCGCCACCTGCACAGTGACCAGTGTTAATGGTGCACACCCACAAGTACCACACCAAGCGAAAGCAAAATGAAAACTTGAAATGCTAAAGTTGCGAAGTGGCCATACAAAATGGACAAGTCCTTCCAAGGAACCCCACCATTGAAGTACACCCATCGGCTACACGTAAGAATGGCCCTAGGCAAGGGTGCCTTTTGGTGCGTGAAGTTCGGGGGCCGCGGGGAGGCCGAACCCGAGCGCACACGCCGCTGCTATCGCAATGAATTCAGCCATCTGGAGGCCCCCATGTACCCCGCACTAAAGGTCACTCTGGCGAAGGGTCACTCTTACGTGTAGTCGAACCCAGGGGCGGGGAAGGCTTTGGCATAGGAAAGCCCGGCAACACCCCACGCGCTCCACCCCATGGGGTGGACCGCGCCGAAGATGTCCAGAAATGACGCTGCATGTATACAGAATGTGTGAAAGCCCCTCGGCCTGAGCCAACCTGGAATACGGCAAAACAATCGAATATGATCACATCTGCTCGGACCAACAGGATGCCACAAACACGTCCTCGATGAGGCGCCAAGGGAGGCTACATGGCCGGTGGGGGCCAGAAGAGATGGCTATGGACCTGTCTTGAGGCTGTTTGTGCTTCGTGCAAAGACGAGGGAGGAGGCAGAAGGGAGGAGGGAAGCTGGAAAGAGAGGGGGGAGCGCAGAGGGAGGAGGCGGAGGGGCGAAAGGGGAAAGGGGAGAAGGGGAGAGGGAGGGAGGGAGGGATGGGACAGGGAGAATGCGGAATGAGAGAAAGGGGTTACGGTGGGAAAGCGGCATAGGAACAGGAGCCGTCAGAAGGGACAAGGCCTGGTCTGACTCATGATCGTGCGATAAGAGGGCACGGTCAATCGCCACAACCCAGAGCTCCTCGCCCAGGCCAGAGGCTGAGCTCGGGCACGGATGGCGAAGGCGCAGCCAAACCTCGGCCCGACGACGCGGGGAGGCGGAGCTCAATCACACCCCGACGGACCACCTACGCAGGCCTGGGCCCCCCCCCCGGCAAATGGGACGCATCAAGACATACTAGTACTATGTGCGTCTGTTGGAGACGCACGTCCCCCCCGAACATGTAGTAGAACATCGTGCAGTATGCGCCACGGGGCTTGTACTGTAGGATTTCCGAGCGCGCGCGCGCGACCCCTGCCTGGCCGGCCCCGCACACACGGTAACTATGCCTGGATTGTGCCGACCCTAAGAAGGGGGAGCAAGGATAAGCAGCGCGCTGCCCCCTCTGGAACGGACACTCCTAGCAGCCGGGGACCAAGGCTAAGCAGCGTGCCGCCGCTGGAACGGACACTCCCAGCAGCCGCCAGCGGCCGCGCACCGCGGACGCCCAACGTCCGCGGCCCGCACGGGCCGCTCGGGCACCAGCAGCACGAGCAGAACTCGGCACCTTAATGGCTGCGCACAGCCGACGACCCACCCGAGCCCCTGCCCGCTGGCAGAGCACCTGGGCGACAAGAACTCGAGAATCCTCGGAGAACCTGGCGGCGGCGAATCTGCCTCCACGGGAGGCGCAAGTGGATGTGAGGGCAAGAAAAAGTAGAAAGGCAATGTCAAAGTGCACCCACTCAGCCTGAACTGACAAAACAAACATGGAAAAGCACGACCCACTGCGAAGACCATAGCAAATTGCAGTCGCCCCAGCCTGGCATGCCGCGCACAAATAAGGAGACATGACCACGCCTCAACAAGCATCCCAGCAGCACTTATACAGGGGCGCTGAACGGCAGCCGACCCAGACCTGACACTCTCAAGAGCCAGGGCGGGGACCTTACGGCGCGGGGACAAGAGATGAAGGCAGGGAACCTTCAATCACAATCTCAGAAAGCTGCGCAGCCCGTGCCACGATAGGGACGCCGGACCTCGACCTCTGACTGATGAGCTCGTCCACCTCCTGGGCCGTCCACGACCTCAGCGCACCATGCTGCGACCTCGCCCTTGCAAGCTGGTGCAGCCCGACCCGCTTCCTGCGCGCGCTGCGCAGCCGCACTGCCCCCCGCGACAATCTCGCCCGCAGCCAGGCGCTCGGCCGCTACCGCGCGCCCAGCCGCAGCCGCGCGCTCGGCCAACGCTCCCGCTCGGGGATCCACTGACCTGGGTCAATCCAACCCGAGTCAGTCGGGCCTTGCAGGATCCTGCAAAATCCTGCACCCAAGCCCGGGTCAATGCACCCCTGGCCCTGCAGGATCCTGCAAGATCTGGCGCTCTGACTGACCCCCGTTTGCGCTGACCCCCGCCTCTGGAGACCCGACCCTCGCCCTCTGCCAGAGCACTGGCCTCCGCCTGGGCTGCAGCCGCGGCCACCCGCTGCTCCGCTGGTGGGCGGCCGCACCGCGCCAGCCTCGCCGCGGCACCCGCTCCAGCTCTCGCCGCAGGTCTTGGCCCTGCGTGCGGCGGCCGCTCTGCGCTTCGTGGCCCCCGCGCGCGCGGCCTCCTGGCCGGCAGCTCCGACGCACTGGCAGCATGGGTCGCCCGCGCGCCCTCGGGGAGTTTCGCCCGGCCCCCGCCGAGCACGAGCTGGGCGTCCTCTGGGCGGCGACAACTAGGAGGCAGAGGGGGCGAAGGCCCCAGAAAAGAGGCCCGCTCCAGGACCCCTCAAGGGGCCCTCTTGAGGGCCCAGAAGGGGACCTGAAGCGTCCGAGAGGGGCGCCATTCTTCCCCCCCTTCCCCGGGTTGTCCATGGCGGAGGCCCCCTGTCCCCGCCCATGTCGTCGTTGGCCCCGTCCTCGGACGGCGCCGCCAGCCCGCCGTCGCTCGGACGTCCATTCCCCGCGTACGTTTTTGGTTTCGCGTGTTTTGTTTGGCCGGAGGGTCGAGGATGCTCCTCGAAGGTGTGCTCGCCGAGGAACAAAAATACACACTCCCGAGCGATGCCAGGCCAGGGCACGGGCAGCGGGCACCCGCGGCGCCCCGGGTGCGCGCCAGCACCCGCCGACCCGGCCCGCGGCCCCCCGCTCCTCGCCGAGCGCGGAGCCCCCGCGGCCAACCCAAGCAGCGCGGCGCCTGCCCTCGGCGGAGGCCCGCCCAGGCGAGGCCTGGCGAGGCCCCCGCCGCACGCGAGCGTGCTGCCGACGCCGGCAAGTCCTTCGCAAGCCGAGCGGGAGGCCCCGCTCTGGGCCACGGCAAGCGGCCACGGCAAGCGGCTCCGGCAAGCGGCCACGGCTCATGGATTTGCTCCGCACGTCGGCGGGGCTTCTCAGAAGGCCTCCCGCCTTCTGAGAGGTTCCCTGCGTCCTCGGGGAAGGCTCAGAAGACCTCCGAGCCTTCCGAGAAGGACCGCCCCTTCGCACTGCTCACTTCCGAGCTCCCCGCGAGCCTTCCGAGAAGGTCCGCCCCTTCGCGCTGCTCACTTCCGAGCCTTCCGAGCTGATCTGGACGCCCGAAATGGGCCTCTTCCTCCTCCTCCTCCTCCTCCTCCTCCTCCTCCTCCTCCTCCTCCTCCTCCTCCTCCTCCTCCTCCTCGTTGGACGCCCCAAATGGGTACGGAAAAAATGGGTACAGTGCCCAACAGCAAATGTTGTCCCAAACCAGCAGCGGCCGCTGTTGGGCGGGCGGCCTTCTGTCTCGAATGGACACAGGCCGCGGCGACGCCGACAGCGAGCCCTGCTCGAAATGAAGAAGAACCGCTGTTGGGCATTGTACCCATTCTTTCCGTACCCATGTCGTTCGTGCCGATGATCAGAAGGCTGGGGAACCTCCGAGCCTTCCGAGAAGGTCCGCCCCTCCGCACCGCTCACCTCTGAGCTCCCCGCGAGCCGCGGCCTCCGCCGCCGCGCGCAGCAGGTGCCCCTGCAGCGCCCGCCGCACGCCCGACGCCCGACGCCAGCACCGCGCCGAGCACAGCCGCGAGGGCACCCCGAGAGGTACCCGCGGCCACGTCAGGGGGCCACAAGCGAACCCTACCCCTACCTCCCACGATTTCTGAGGGGGAGGGTGGGGTTCATTTCGTTTGGGAGCTCCCAAGCGAAGTGAACCCCACCCTCCCCCTCAGAAATCCCCCTACACGTCCGCCTCGCGCCTGCCCCACCACCGCTGCGAGCCGTGGAGAGCAGAAGACGACCCAGAAGGACGGATGCGGGAACCGCACGAGCGTGCACAGGAGCACTTTGGGCCCAA